GCTCACATGCATCATATCACCACAACCATGTTGTTAATGCTCCAGGGCTATGTCATGAGATCGGTGGAAGAAAAATGGTGAGTATGCTCAGTGAAGGCAAGGATTCTTTCTGGAGTTGCTCGCTGGCTTCTGAAAATCATATTAATCAAGGGTCTCATAATCTATTTCTATAGATCGTTGCCAGAGCCTCTGTGAAACAGACAAACTTATCCTGAACCTAACTATGCACACACACACACACACACACACACATTTCTGTTCATTGGACTTAGCAAGGAAAAATACAGTATTGATCAGGAAGGATAGGCTGACATTAACAAAGGATTGATATAGCAAGAAGAGTATTTTTTATTATTTTACCACTCCCTGATTTCCACTGAAACTTCCTCCAAAAGCTGAAATAGGTTTACCTTGACTGTTACCTTTTATGTGCCAGGTTTTTGCCTTCTTTGATATTATCGGTCTCCTTCTGGCAGGTTTAAAGATTACCAACAACTGTTCCCACCTCGCCCTCAGGAGGTGGAACCTCATATACAAGCTTCACCTACGAAGCCCTCAAAGACAGTAGCAGTTCACCTACAAGACTCCCAGGTCAGTAAGGAAGAAAGTGAAAACAAGAGAGCAGAGACAAGAAAACCACTGTCTAGGCATGTCTACCATACAAAAGATTTTCACTGTTAGCCTGTTGAATGACCAGAACAACTACTACTCTTTAGGGTAGGTTTTTCAATCCTTATTTTGCAAAGGAGAAATCTGAGGCTCAGAGAAATTGTTACCCTGGGAATTTGAGGAAGTCCCTCTTTTCTCTGCCTGCCATTAGAAGGAATGGAATAATAGGTTGGATACGTGGAGAGCAAAATGCCAGGTTTTTTTTACTGCTGAAAGCTGGTTTGGAGGATATGGATTGGCAGTGAAACAAAGTGGTTTGCTGATCCTCTCTGCGTCCAAGTTAGACTGACTGACGCATACAGCCACTGGCGTGCAGAACAACTCAGGCCTCTACTTGCCAGGGCGAGTGGGTCTCCTACTGTGAAAAGGGGCAGGACTGAAAGAAGCGACCTGCACACAAGCAAATCCCAAAGAGAGCATGCGAAGGGCTGAGCACAGAGTGTGTCCACGTCCTTATTTCAAACTTGCCAATTATCTAGCTCATTCTTTCTCCCATGGGAGGAGACAAAGAGGGAAGAAAGATGAGTCAGGAATGTTACTCAGGAAAGTCTCCTCATATGGTTTGAGAAAAAAAAAAATACACGTGTCCTTAAATAATCACTTACTTAGTGTGTTTTAGAGTTGGTTAGTATCAGAAAGATTTGAGCCCAGCTCTATCTGACTGCACAGATGATACTAAGATATCTCCAAAAATAAAGCCTAAGACCATTGATCCAAGACTCCAGGGATGAAAGTGTGTTGTTCTTTCCTTTCTCCTCTGTATTTTCTTCATATATGAATCAACTCCATGTCAGGGCACCATGAATCATCACACAGAATATTAGAAAGAACATTGTACCCAGGACCAGGACACTTCGTTTTAATTTCAGGCCTTCTGGTTGCTCTTAGATAAGAGAAAAGAAAACCAACACATACTTAATGCCCACTTTGTGTCAAGCACTGCGTAGGGGTTTACATACATAATCACGAAGCCTCGCTACAATCGGAAGGCTATGGTTTCTGTATTACACACAGAGATATTGAGACAGAGGTTAAGTAAATTCACCCAAATTACACAATTAGAAGGTAGGCTCCAGACTCAAAGTTTCTGATTCCAAATCAGTGCTTTTGGTACTTCCCTGCTGGCTGTCTAAAGCCATGCTTACATTGAGGTCCCTCTCTGTAGACGGAGACAACTGAGCTAGTTAATCAACAAGACTCTTTCTGGCTCTAAATGTCAATTTCTTGAGGGGTAAATAAACTGGAGAATGGCCACTGGCTACCTATTAAGAAACAGATGAAGAATCATAAAATGCATTTGCATGTATGTGTATCAGTAGGTGCATGTAATTTTATATATATATATTATTTTTAATGCTTAGAAATGGTTTTGCTCATTTCCTTATTTCTTCAACATTTC